CCGACCGTTCAAGGTAAGCAGAGGCAAAATAAAGCTAAAATTGAGTGCACAGTAGAAGCAAAATGCTGGAATGACCTGCATTAAGTAGTACTGACTCTTTTTCTTTTTCCAGGAAGATGTTTCTGAGTGGAGATTTACCACACTCCAGCATCACATGTATTGGCATTCCCATACTGAAAAATGGTGGCAGGGCACTTTCAAATGAGCTTCAGTTCAAAGTGCCCTGCCACCATTTTCAGCATGGGGATGCATGTGATGTTTTGGGTTCTCTAAATTTTTGGAAGAAGAAAAAGTGTGGCTCTCAGAGCTGCACTAATTTAAAGCGCTCCTTCCCCCCCGCCTCCCAGAGCATGTCTAGAAATGCCCAATGCTTCTTTCATAAAAGGGAAGTGAAGAGCACCAGGGTCCCTAACAATATTTAGAGGAATAGGAGTCCTCTAGGCCAACATGAGCTTGATCCTACCCCCATTGTGAAAACTGGGTTGTTGCTGGGTAGATGACAGGCTTGGGAATACCTTGGCTTGAAGTGAACTGCCAAATGACCACAGCACCTTTCTCCTCGCATAAGGGCAGCTGGTGAAAAGGCCAGTCTTTGCCCAACACAATGACCCTAGAGCACAGGATCCTCAGCCACAAGGTAAGTGCTTGGGATGGGAAGGAGCAGAAGTGATAGTAGCCATGTAGGTTAGTTGTTGGCCCTTGCCAGCCTGAGCCAAGGCTACAAGCAGTTTGCTGTACAAGAGGGAGCTGGAGGGAGGAATTGGACAGCACCATGGTGCTGTCCAGGTATCTGGAGCATGTCAGTGCAGTATCTCATGGCTCGGGTCATCTGCTCTAGGCAAAAAAATGCCTATGGTTTCTGGCACCAAGGATTGGCACTTTTTGGGGGGCCTGGGAGTCATGGTCCAAATGGACCTGTTGGTGCCTTGGTTGGCAGCCTGTACAGTCCAGGTGGTGCTACTTAGCCTGAAAGTGCTAGCCAGGCAGATGCTGCTTTGAATGTTGAGGGACCAGAAATGGCTACTTGGGATGAGGTGGCCCCATATCTGAAGCAGGATGCCCTTTCCTCCAGGTTCGCCGCCTGAGCCTTCACTGTACTGCTGCATGGTGGCTGGGGAAATTAGGTGCATTAGTGACACTACCCACTTGCTACTGAGGTAGAGCATCTTTCCCTGAGCACTAGCTCCTGTTTCTAAGCTAGTTCTCCATGCCTCTGATGCCCTAGCATGCTGATGAGATGGAACGTATCTTCCTGAACAGGACAAAAATGGGATTCATCCTTTTTTTTTTCTGGTGAGGAACGTGAGCTGCTGTGAGAGCAGCTACTAGAGTAGAACCAAATGGAGTCAGGAGGAGGGGGAGTTACCTCCTCCCCTGCTACTTCATCATTCCAGATGTGCCACACACCTAGAGAGAGGAGCTGGTAGGCAATGGAGCACTGTCAAATGGTGTCCTCCTGGGAGGTCTAGGAGGGGATGGGTGGCTCGTGTTCAAACTGCACACAGCAAAATCTCCCAGGCCTGCAGGGTTTGCTGTGGATAAAATTCTGGAGGTTTGCCAGGACCTCTTGTGGCCTTTTCTCTCAAGAAGCCCAGCAACTAACTTGGTCTCTTTTTGTGTCTCCTTCCAGGGTTATGAAGGGTCACTGATCAAGCTAACATCAAAACAGGTATCTCCTTCTCTTTACCCCACTCCAGTGTGTGTTTTCCCCAGCTCCTCCTAAGACAGGACTAGACTTGGATGGAGAGGAGAGGGAGGGAGGAACAAACTGTCTCTGCTAGGTACTGCAGGGCTAGTGGCTATTCTGCTGTAACCTTAACACCACAGGGCTTTATACCACAAACTAGCTGTTTGCGTGCTCCTGTCTTCTGTTCACTTCCCATTTTCTCTTCCAGACTCTGGCTCTGGTGGGGGGTGGTAGTTGTCTAGTATGCACCAAACATGAATGTGGTGGTGTCCCCCCTGGAGTGGAATGCTGAGTTGTTGAGCCATTGGGCTTTTATTCTACCCATCAAAAGTCATGCTTTTCTATCCTCAAACCAGTTTCCAGTCTAACGTTGGAGATGCATTACCCATAGTAGCTGCCTGATTGGGCTGTGGCAAAGGTAACAATCCTGGTAGTGGTGGGATGGGACCTTGAACAGCATCTGCTGAGCTTGCACTTCCTCTACCTCTGAAATGAGCAACTGCTGCTCATGTTGGCTGGGGTGTTCCTACTCTCCTTCTGTTAGAGCTGTTATTTTTAGGGGAAAATGGAAATGGGAGCTGGCATGCTGAGTAGTAGAAATTTTGTTTCCCCCTCTGGAGCCAGGAGGGTAAGGGGCCCCTGTAAAAGAAGCTCTTTCTGTCCTTGGGCATCTCCAAATGTGGCCTATGAACGCCCTTCCCCACCACCCACTTCGCAGGTGTCAGGAGGTGAGTGCTCGAAGGACATGTCAGCAGGCCAAGTCCTGGCCCCAGTTAGGGAACAGCAAGCTGAGTAAATCTGAGGCAGCTCTCAAATTGCACCTTTTTTGTTCTTTTCTCCAGCCAGTTGGTTTTGTTACCTTTGATAGCCGGGCTGGTGCAGAAGCAGCAAAGAATGCCTTGAACGTAAGTACCTGGCCAGTCGTGTGTCTCTAGTGCATTCATGCATGTTGGATAACCGCTTGCCACTTCCAGCACTTGCTGCAAGTTAGATGAATGTGCTGTGGACAGGCCAAGCAAAGGGTTGATGATGACATCCCTGAGCTGTCGAGGAGGACAGGAGGGGAAGGCTCGAGGAAAACAACTGCTCTCCACAAATACCCAATGGAGGGGAAAAGAGCTCTTTAAACTACAAGGCAATATTGGTTTGAGGATGATAGAACTATGTTCCTGGTCTAACTCTGTGGTTGCATGCATCAGGCTAGGAAGGCATGAGAGTCTGGATCTTCCAATAGGAAACCAAAACTCCGCAAACCAGCTTGTTAAGATGACTGACTTCTGCTGTCACTACCTCTTACTAACAAGGTCTTGGACTCAAAGTAGGAAGGGGTATCTTGGGGCCACTCCCAAACCAGATTTGGACTTGGCATTAATGTGGTCCCATGTGGCTGGGAACTTTTCTGTAGTTCAGTAGTGAACCTTGGTCCACACCAAGATGGATCACCTGCATTAATACACCAGAGAGGATTGGCACAGCAAATGCCAGCTTGCTGTCCCTGCCTGTTGAAGGGTAAATACCTCCCATCACCTGGGCCTTTGGCCCTTGCAGCCTGATCAGATTACTCGGGCTTTGCTCATAAGATGTGCTTCTGTTTCAAGTACTAATAGACTAACTTGGGGTATGAGTGGGTGGTGGGGCAAGGGTTTGAGGGGGGTGATGGTGGCTGTTCCTTCGTACAGGGATAATTGAGCAGAGGGCCAAATCTCATTGACTTGCAGTCACGCTGTCAATACCAAGCCCAAGGAAATTAATAGGTGTTGGGCCTCTCACTAACCCAATGTCAAATGGGTCATACAGAACTATCCATACAGCAATCCATTTCTGGACATAATAAGCTATTCACCCAGTGAGTGCCAGAGGCTTGCTGTTTTAGTGCCTGCCTCAAAGGCATAGAAAAGTTGTGGGGTTTTTTTGGGTTTTTTGGTTTTGTTTTTTGGTTTTGTTTTTTTTGTTTTTGTTTTTTTCAGGACACTAAACTTCAACTCAACTAGTTCCTTCTTATACTGGCATTAAGGTGTATCAGAATCCTAGAAGAAAATATCTGGTCCAACCCTTTGCTCAAGGCAGGATCACCAGCCCTGTATGGGGTGGCTTAGACAAACATCTGCCTAACCTAACTCCCAAGTGGCCAAGATTGCACAACCTCTCCAGGGAACCTGGGAGTGCTCAGCCAGGCAGCAAAGGACTAGTCTTAGCCTGTGCAGGGTAGGGACCTTTCCAAAATGACAAGCAACTGCTTGCAAATGCAGGGGACCTGACTTCATGGCCTGAGGCCCTTCCACTCCTAGGGACATAACATGTGATGCAGGAGAAAGCTGCTACTCCATAAATCTCTCTGGCCATGTCCCTACCCCATGTAGTCTGGGGCTTGGTGCCATCTCAAAGATATTGTGGCTAAGATGACTAACCAAGGTAATCCATGCTGGGAGGCACAGCCCTACTCGTTCTAGCTGCACAAAAGCTACTCTGTCACCTAGCATCCCTCTGCTAGGTGAGTCTTCCCTGCTTGTACAGCTGTCCAGCCTGTAGACTGACATGCAAGTAACCTACAGCTGTCTGATCAGGACAACCTTTGTCAGTGGGTGTGGGTGCAGGTTTGGCCCTTGTCAGTGGGAAGTGACACAAGTAGACTGTCCCCTCTTCAGCATAGCCTTATGCCAAGCAGTGGGCATAAGCAAGGGCCTTTAGCTCCAGAGATAAAACTGAGCTTGGCTTGCTTCCAACTCTGTGTTGTTAACGTTTGAGCTGCTGATGTCTGAGGAAGGTGCAGACTTTCCAGTGTTGAGGCTGGGGGTCCTGCAGGCATGTTGGAGGCCTGAGATCTGCATTTGCTCTTGTGTCCCCTCAGAGATGAAACAGCCAGTGCACTTGGTGTGTCTGTACAGACCACAGCAGAATGGGCCCTGATATTATTGTGGGGGTGGTATGAATAGGCACAGATATATACCAGAATTCAGAAAATGGATAGCAATGTTTGTTTTCATTGTGAGACTCCTTTTTCTTCTGCAGGGCATCCGATTTGACCCAGAGAACCCCCAGACCTTGCGGTTAGAGTTTGCTAAAGCCAACACTAAGATGGCAAAGAGCAAGCTGATGGCCACACCAAACCCCACCAACATCCACCCTGCCCTGGGCGCGCACTTCATCGCACGGGACCCTTGTGAGTAGCTGTTGAGGAGTCCTTGCTCAGGCTGGCTCCACTTCCCTCAACCTTCCCCCTCCCAGAAAGTGCTCTAGAGAGGCCCCAAAGCCACTAGACTCATTGCCACTGCATTGGAGATGGGGAATAGACAAAGTCCTGGCCTTAGAGTCCAGCCAAGGACAAGCCTGCCCTTGGGCATGTTTGTGTTGCCTGGCTGCTAGGGGAACACTGAAATGGAGGCAGAGGTGGATGCCTTCCTGAGTTCCTTTGCTTGCAGTGCCTTGGGATGGAGGCCTGCGCTGACTCTATGGGCAGGAGTTGGTTATTCAGAGTGGGTGGAAAAGGGAGGCCAGCAAAGCAACTGCACTACAGGTCCTGATATCTGAGGCTGTGCCTTTTTTTTTTTCTTTTTCTCTTTTGAGAAGACTGGAAATCCCAAGCAACGTGGAGTCTAAAGTTCAGAGTCAGTCTCCTCGCCAGCTTGGCTTTGGCCATTAGGCAGCACAGCTGAAATATTTATCTTTTTATATATTTTTGTTAGATGACCTGACTGGAGCAGCTCTGATCCCAGCGTCTCCAGAGGCATGGGCTCCCTATCCACTGTACACCACAGAACTAACCCCTGCCATCCCCCATGCTGCCTTCACATACCCAGCTGCTGCTGCCGCCGCTGCTGCCCTTCACGCTCAGGTGAGTCATGCTGAGCCTCTCTGCTCCTGGGGGAAGCTGCTGCCTCACTCCCTTTTGGAGACACTAACTCCAAGTGCAGCTTGTTCACTTGGATCTCTGCATGACTGGTTTGACCCATGGTGAAACCTGTGCTCTCTCTTGCACCTTGACCTGTCTCCAGAGCAAAGTGTATTCCCTGCTGTAAATAAACAGCAGTCTGGGGTGGAGGCTTCCTCCAAGAACTATGGAAGAAACTTCAAAGTGCCAGCTGCTTAGTAAATAGATGGCCTGAGGTCTCCTGCTCAGGGTGCAGTAAATGTATACTAACTTCTGGCACTGTAGGTCTGGCCTGCATTGCAGACGGCTGGGGAAAGCCTGCTTGGAACTTGGCTGACTTGGGCGCAGGGCTTAGTCCAGCAGAGCCCAACTTCCATAGGCATATGTCTGATCTGGAACATCTGCATAAGAGGCTTATCTTCCAGCTCCATAGTGAAGGCTGCTCCTTTCTCCACACTGAAAGGAGGACTTCCCTTGTTGACTGAAGTGTTCTGTCCAAACCAGAATCCACTTATTTTTGTTTTCAGAGGGATTTTTTTTTTTGTTTAAATCCATTTTCAGTTGAACTTGGTACTTCAGGAGTTTTAGGCTCATCTTGAATGATGCTCTTCAGACTTTCCCTGTAGCTTCTCACTAACATTTCAGCTACATGTAGGCTAAAACTGGGACTAGATGCACGTCACATGGGCCCCACTTGAGTTGATTAGTATAGATTCCCTGTGGAAGGGTGACACTGCATGCAGTAGTGGCTTTTTTGTTTTGTTTTGTTTTTTTCCTTAGAAGCCAATGGTTTGGTGGGAGAAGTGACTTGGATTGAGGTAGCTAGTCACTGGTAGATGATCGGTCAGTTGTTCTTGAGCATCCCATGGCCCCAGAATAGCTTGGGTGTTGATACTTGAGGGGCTCCTCATAGCTCTGCTCCCTTTCCTTCTGCTGTGCCCAAAGGAAGCACTGCAAGGGAACTGTCTTAAGAGCATGGAAGGAGCCCTGACAGTCTAGAGCTGCTGGTGTGGTGAAGAAGGTCAGCTGCCCTTTGCATGCCAGGCTTGCTAGCTTTAATGGGTTGTGTTGAAGCAAGACTTGCAAGCCTGCTTCTGGCTTTGCCCTAAGAAGTCTGCAAATCTCCACTGCCCTCCTGTTGCTCTGGCCTAGTAGTAAATCTTCCTGTAAAAGGAGGGGAAACACCAACTTGTTGCCCAAGCTTGGAAGCAGCAGCATTCTCTATGGGCTCTTGCTTGTAACTTGAACAGAACTTGGTTTCTAAATGCCAAGACAAAGCTACACTAAAATGGAATCTTAAATTTGAAAGTACGTCCTTCATTTAAGGGCGGACTATAGTGCTTAATTTAGATGGTTACAAAACTTTTGAATTCCAGGAATTTGGAACGCTACTGAGGCGCACACTCATTTTTGCTCTGTTCCCATATTATGGGGAGGGTGGGGGGGTAGGAAAGTTGCCTTTTTATTTTTATTTTTAACTTTTTCCAAAAAAAGTGTTTATCTAACCTGGGACCACAAATCCAGTGGCCTAGTATAGACAGCAAGCAAATGGCCTTGATGCACAGCAGAAAGGGAACAGACCAATTGGTAATGCACCAGCCAGGGCTATGGGAGACTGGGATCAACTTACTGTCAAACAATCCTGACGGAGGGTCACTTGGGATAACTCTTCGAATTAGGATGTGGGTGATTGGGGTGGGTGGGCAGAAGGGTTCCAGAGGCTTTTTGTTTTGAGGGTTTTTTGTTTTTGTTTTTTCTAAAACTTGCCAAGGTGTGAAACTCTGCCATGTTTGGATTTTAATATGGAAACTGGGCAGCATTGAATTGCCTTTTGGATTAAAAAAAAAAAAAAAAACTGGAATGGCAGGGTTTTTGGGTTTTTTTTTTTTTTTTTTTTTTTGTTTAATCTGCTTGTGAGACACTGCCACATGTAGGCTATATTCTGCCCACCTCTGCTACTGAAGGCTAAGAGCTTGTTGGCTTCTTCTGGCAGTGGCTGTGCACAGGCTACAGAAAAGTGCAGCAGGTTTATAAGCTGCACAGGGCAGGAATGGGATGTAGCCCTTCTCTCCTTGACTAGGAGCCTGCCACAACACGCATTCAGAGATCTTTTGGGCCCCTGTGCTGCCACCATGGACACTGTATTCCAGGGCTAGGCTGTCCCTTCTGAAAGCTCCCTGTAGCTTCTAACAGCTGGTGCCCCCTAAGGAATTCCCTGGGGCACACTTGTGGACACCTTCTCCCCCCCCCCCCCCCCCCCCCCCATTGCATGCTGTATCTCCTTCTGCTTTCCTCAAGAGGTAGTTAAGAGACCTACTTCCAGTGTCTCAAATGAGACTTTCAGCTTGAACAGGATATTGCACTTGCCAGAAGGACTGATTGGTTATGGTTAATATAGAATGATGCCCCTTTAACGCATTCTACCCAACATGCAAGACACCCTCTTGGTCTCTAGACTGTGACCAGAGATGGCTTGGGGAATGGGAAATGGCTAACAAGCCCTGCTTCAGACTTGTCCTTGGCAGGATGGCTAACCTACCCTGTGTCCCTTGAGGGCTTTGAACTTAAGGGAGTATTATGGCACCCTGTTGTATTAAGGCACCTCTGCATCCTCTCAAAGAACTAGCTTCTCTAGAGGACATTCCATGTGGGGCTGTTAGAGCTATGAATCTCACCCCTGCAGAGCAAATACTACCAGCTAATGCTACTAGTAGACATGTCCACACTGCCTGGGCATTGTATGCCAATCAGAGCCCCAAGTATGTCCTGCTTACCTGTTCCTAGAGGCCCAGAAATAGACTGCTGAGGCTGTCCCAGGGTTGCCACAAGCATGCCAGAGACTGGTGTCTTAAGTGTCCACAGGAGGACTTGCAGCACTTTTTTTGCCTGGTGCCTTTCTGGTTTTAGTACATGCCTGTAGCTGCAGATGTGTAGGGAGTAGCTGGGAGCTGCTCAGCTGGCACATGCCAGCTCTGTAGCATAGGCAGGTCCTGTTTGTTATACTGTACTTTGGGCAGACATGATTGAACCAACTTCCTGGAACAGTTGGCAATGGGTTAACATTTCACCTAAAACCATTGGTGCAACCTTTATTTATTTATTTATTTATTTATTTATTTATTTATGCTAGGGACACCTGCTCCCTCTGGCAGGTAGCTGGGAGGAGTGTCTGGGAAGGGCAGGTCGGGCACCTTGGGGGTCCTGAGCCGGTCGCAGGCTGCCTGCCTGCTCTGTGCTCTAGCTGGCAACCTTCTTGGGCATTCCCACACAGCATGCATTACCAATAAAGTTTTACGGAGTTAAATATTACTTGGGTGCTGGCAGCTCTGAGCTGCATAATGTGTAGGCTGGGGTCCTCTTCCAGTGCAGAGGCCAGTACCAGGGTGGGATAAGATCAGCCTCCAAGGACTCCCGTGCTGAAGCTGTGGATAAAAGCCTTGCCAAGGTGCTGTCCTCCAAAGCCAGTCTTGTTTGGAAATGGCATGCTGAGTCTTCCCTCCCATGCTGGCTGCTGGGGTGAGTGGTGGAGGTAACTCTGCCCTTCCTGCAGTGACACTGTATCTAGGAACTCGCACCATTCAGGGTTCCTCCTTGCAGCTGCTTCTCCCCAAGGCATTGCGGTAACTGGAAATGCTGTCCACCTTGATGACTAGAGGATGTCCCAGCACTGCCAGGAACAAGGTACCTGGTGCTAGGCACCCTCTGCTCTAGCAACTTAAACTCTTAATCTTTCCATGCTATGAGTTCATGTGACCCCAAATGAGCTGGGATGTAGAACTTGTCTGGAGAGAAGAGCCCAGTATGCCCACTGGTAAGGACCCCTTCTTCCCCTGGTAATGAGGGGGTTCTCCTACTTTACTCCTGAACCCTAGGAGTGACTTGGTAACATAACTCAGCTAGTCATAAGCTTGCCCTGGACTTGGTGTAATGACTCTTGCTCAGATGGCAGGGGATGAAGGGCAGTGTGAGCTTGTCCTTTCAAATCCAAAGTGTTCAGTAACCTGCCTGATGACTAGGCTGAACATAGCTGCTCCTGCATCCTTGATGGCAGTTCTGCTGGAGATGACGGCCTAGCACAGCAGGATGGTGTTGCTGTGGGGGCTGCCCACTAAACCCCTCTTCCAGGGGACTCCTACAGAGGCTAAGCACTGATTCTCTCAATGTCCCATCTTCCTCCCCACCTTCTCTCAAATCCCTCCTTTGATGTCCCCAGTGAACTCCAGCCACGATGCCACGGCAGGCTAGCCTTGAAGCTCAGAGCTGTCCCTGGCGATGGGACACCCTAGTGATGCCTATTTGCAGCTAGTGGAGTGGCTGTACTACAGCTCCATTCCTAGAGGTGTTAAGCATGATGGCACCCACGTCTGGAAAGACTGGTAAGGTCACCATCTCTACTCCAGGGTGCACAGCGGGATTTGCAAGCTTCTGCCCATCTCTGTAGCCCATATCTCCTTGGCAAGCCAGTGCATGGGCCTCACGCTAGCCACACACCAGAGCCAGACATTCTTTCTAACCCACATCTCAACTTGGCAGCACACAACCTGGCACCACAGCATGGCACCATCTGACAACCAACTTCTCCCAAGCAAGCTAGGATTGACTTTTTTAAAATCCTTCTTTCTGTGGGAGGGGAAGAACCTGGCCAAACAATGGCAGGAGGGAGGGGGGAGGAACAATACCTTGTGACTTGGCACAAAAAGATATCTTGGTCTCCCAAACCACCATCTTTCAGAGGCAATCAAAGACACCCTATCTCACTCATGTCACATGGTGGGGAGGTGAGTGACGTGATAATGAAAGCACATAACTAAATTCTACTGCGCACGTTAGAACAGCACTTTTCCGTCACCTTCTGTTTCAGCATCTCATAAGGACCTGGGGGAGGGAGTGGCGGGGGCACTGGGGTGGGATGGACCCAGCACCACCCTACTGGGTCTGTTCTTCACCTCTTTTCTTCTCAGTTACTAGAAGCGAAGCTAGTTCCTGCCTGGAGCTGGGCTTCTTCTAGTTTGACACCAGTGCCAGAAAGCAGCTAAAATGAGCCATCACTAATGCGGCACAGGGAATAAGAGTTGCACAGAACAAGACCATGAGTTTGAGCTTCCTGGAGCTGGCAGGAACAATGCTTGGAGGCTGGTATCTGTAGATTGGAAGGGGTGGGTGGGGCACTCTGGAAGCTAAATGGAGATCACATCTCAAAGGTGGAGGTTTGTTTCCAGGCCAAAGAGGTTGGGGAAGAGTGTTGTTGGTGCTGGCTATGTTTGCAACTGGAAGTCAAAGGCAGGAAGAAGGTACAGATAATTTTTCTCCTATGCAAGAGTTTTTTTTTTTTTGTTTTTTTTTTTTGTTGTTTTGTTGTTTGTTTGTGTTTTTTTTGTTTGTTTTTGTTTTTTTGTTTTTTTTGTTTTTTTGTTTTTCTACTGCTGCTTGAATGATCTTCAAGGAAGGAACATGTGGTAGAATGTGTGTGGGTGATCCAGACCTGCTTCCTGGGGTTAAGGAAGCAACAGGGCTGTGGTAGGAATGGAAACATTGTGCCTATGCCAAGGCATCCTCCAGGAAGGGAAGGGGTAGTATGATTTGGGTACAGGGGTCTGTACTCAATTGGATCTTGTGGATGGAGCTAAGAATGGTCTCTAGCACCCACTATAGCATGGAGTCAAGGCTTCCTGGTGCTGCTACATTGCATACAGACTTCTAGAATGAGGCAGAGCTCTGCTGGTTGGGATCACAGGATCCTGTGACTTGATCCTCTGAGAGGGAGGGGCCTTGCACTGTGCTGGTGAAGCGGGCAATAGGGTAAGCCTTAATCCAGACATCTGCTTCAGTGGCCAGCACCACTCTTCTGAACCAGGTCTCCAGCCTTTTCTCAGCTGTTTAGGCAGGTCCCATATATGACAGCTGATATATCAAAGTTTAGCTACAAGCACCAAGGCCTCAAACTGACAGTGGACTTGGAGTATGTGGGGAGTAGCACATCCATCATACTGAGGGCTGGTTGCACAGGCACCCACCAGAGTCTCTGCATTGCTGCCCCTTCTGCCCTAGTGCAGTCCCATCTGGAGGCCATGAATGAATGACTAGGTGAATAGCCATGGTGAATGACTAGGGTCAGGCTTCCAACAAAATGGTGACATCACTACAGCAAGCTCTAGGTGGAAGAAGGCCTTCATCACTTTGGCTGCCTGGCTGGGTGAGTTGCTCAGCAGGACCCTGAAGCTTCATCACACTGGATGGAGGCTGAACCCATCGATGGAAGGGGAGGTCAGTGTTGCTCCATGTGGATTTAGCTGGAGATGCCTATGCAGTGATACAGTAGTGCACACTAGTGGCCCCCTGAGGCTGGCAGTCGAGAGCTGCTGAGTGGCTGTCGACAATAGCTGTGAAGATCCCCTTATGGTGCCAGTAGGGATGTTGCTATGATGTGGTCTGAAGCGCATCTGGAAAACTTCCCTAGGACCAGGAGGCCAGGCATGGCAATAGCAGAAGAGGCTTCCAGTACTCAAATGTGGGCTTGTCCCTCCCCTTAGCAAGGCTGCTGGTTGGTTGCCTTGGAGGATGCTGGTGGAATCCAGTGCCATAAGCACAGCTCTGATTCTCCTTTACTAACCGTGACTCTGATACCTTTTTTCAGGGCTTTAATTAGGTGAAATGAACACTTCACTATGGGGTGGGAGGAGGAACAATGCTCTGTTGGACTAGATAAGTCTGCTTCAGCAAGCTCGTTACTCATTTCCTTCTCATGCTGCAGGAGACTCTGGCTTAGGGAAGTCAGAAAAAGAAATGGATAATTCTAGAAGAAGCTTTGATGGGATTCTAGTCATAGCTGGATGAACCCAAATTAAGTGCTGCAGTATTTATAGATGCACCAGACTGGAGGGGGGTGGAGTGGGGACGGATGCTCTACCAGGCTTGGGTGACCTTTGCTCAGACTCCACGCAGCTGGAAGAGACCTTGCAGCAATAGCGCACAAAGCTGAACCTGCATTGCTGTGCCTGCAGCTTGTGTAGCTAGACCTGAGCTAGCTTGGGGGTTGCTAGTAGGAGACCTTCAGTAGCAGCTTGGGGGCACAATTCTGGCAAAATGCATCTGAGATGCTGGGA